GTGAGACTTCAGTCTCGCTGCCTTTGGCCAGACTGATGCTGTCTTTACAGATGAAGAAGATATCCATGCCAATGAAGAGAGCATTGAGCCCGATGAGCCCGGCCCTGGCCGACTTGGAGAGGGCAAGAGGCCCTTTGACTGCTGCCTGACCAATATCGGGGATATCTGCCACCACCCTGGGCACGTTACGTAACGCTTTCCCTTCCTGCACGGCCACTTTGCCAGCACTTACAGCCAGCTCTTCACTTTTTAACACCTTAATAGCTGAGGCAGCATCAACAAGTGAATCAATACCTTTTCCAATAATACCAGCTTTACAAAGCACCTTGCCTACTCCCAGAACCACATCTATCGGGTTTGTTTCCCTTTTGGTGACCTCTTCCAGACAAACCTGGAGACTCTGCACATCCTCCATGAAGCTCTGGAAGATCTCACTGGCTTTCTTTTGATGTTTATGGTTTACACCAATCTCTGTGGCAGTGGTGACCGCACTGTTGACTCCGCTGGTAATTCCCATCCCCACCCCAGTCATTGTCAGAGCTAGAGACACTCCAGCTGTTACAGGAATTAATGCCAAACCAATGATGGAAAGCACACCTCCAGCTGCCCCCACTGAGCTGCCTGCCACACTGGAGATCTTTGCCCCCTTATTCATCCTGTCTAGCTGAACAGCATTCTCCTCCAGGTCTTTTAGAGAATCCAACATCCTGGGATGTCGCTTTTCGAACTCAGTCATGAAGCTAGAATGTTCTCCCTGAAACAAAAACACCGTCCGGAAGTTCTGGTTCATTCTGATGAAGAGAAAAGAAGAAATTAAGAAAGACTAAATAAGATGACACATCTCAAAAAGGTGAGTATGTTAATTTATAATTCTGTGTGAAAAAAATTTGATTTAGGATCTGGTTCTTTTTGGAACAAACATTACGAGGCGAAAATAATCAATAAAATCAACATGAAGAAATAAGAAGAAGTGGCTACAATCTCATGAAATAAATGACAAATT